AGAACAGGCACCGATTGACACAGGAGTGAGATCTTGGAGAAAGAGGTGTGTTCTGTGGTCTTGGAACCGCGGAGAAGGGAATGGAGTCCAGGTTGGTGTCAGCACTTGAAAAACCTTTCTAAGAATCATAGCTCACTAAGGAACCCAGGCCACCTTGAGAGATAAGGAATGAGCAGCCCGTCACAGGAGGTGTGTAAGCAGGTATCAGGATTTGCTTCCCTCGGCCCGCTCCTTCACACCAGTGAGCCTGGGTGGAGGCTGGTCCCCTTCCAGGACTTTGGTGCCTTACACCCCAGCTCCTCTACCAGCCTCAGATTCCCCGCTCTGGCTCAGAAGGCTGCCCAGGGGGCCCTGGGGGAGGGGCTGTCCCCGCAGCTTTGCCCACAGTCTCATGGGGTCCAGGGAACCCAGCGGAGCCTCGGGGCCCTGCTCTCTCACGGTGGGAAGGCTCCGGGCACATGAAAGCCTCTCGAGGCGCCTCCTGGGCCCAGCAGACACCAGGTCTGCCGCAGGACCACTGACGGCTGCCCTTTGTCCGGGACCCCACGCACGCCCAGCCCAGGGGCTCCCGCCTTGCTCAGAGCAAAAGCCTAACCCGTCCCGGAACCGCAGCCCCCGCACGCCCTGCCTGCACCTCGCCCACCGCCCAGCACCCCGGCCCTGGCGCGGCACCGCGGCGCCTCTGCAGCGCGCCGCGCCCCGCAGGGGGCTGTGGAGGGACCCACGGCCACGGGCCCGGGGGCGGGGCCTTGGATTTCCGTCCTGCAGTGTCGCGCAGGGCGACGGGACACCCACAGAAGCAGCAGGGACGGGAGGGGCGCAGGGCGGGAGGAGGAAGGCGAGCGGAGGGCAGGCGCCGCGGGCGGGCGCAGGACAAACTCCGCGGGGTCTGCGCTCCACGTCCGGCCCAGCCCCCCTCTCAGGGCAGCTGGTGTCCGAGAGGAGCAGGTGGCCTGGAGCGGAGGAGCTGCCAAGGCCAGGGCAGCAGAGACAGCCGCAGACACGGTGGGCGGGCGAGGAGAGGCAGGCGCGGGCAAGCGCCGGGCGGGGCGAGGGCCGCAGCCGGAGACGCGGGCAGAGACGCAGGGAGAAAGCTGAGCCCGAGCGGACCGCAGGAACAGAGCCGCCTGCGGGAGAGACGGCTGAGAGGGTGGGGAGACAGAGGGGGGGGAGCTGAGACAGACAGGGCACACAGTGCAGGGTGCTGTCCCCAAAGACACCGCCCCCGCCGCCCCCTGCATGCGGGTGGGCTCAGCTACTGCAGGTCCCTACCCGCAGCAGGGCTTCCCTCCCCGGCACCGTTTCCCAGCGAGTCCCATGTGAGCCACCTCAGCCCTTGGGGCCCCCAAGCTCCTCCGTGCTGGAGGGACTCGCAGGCACTTCTGTAAAGGCGGCACCTGGCCCCTAGCCTACAGCTCCCAGCTTCCCTAGCAGGGCTGACCTGACCCCACCAACAACAACTTGGTGTTTGCCAGGGACCAGGTGCCATGGCCTGGCTTGGGCTCAGGGGAGGTCACCTGGGAGCAGAGCACCCTCACCGTTAGGGAGGGCACAGAGAGTGGGAAGACCCTCTGGTCCAGTCATGGGACCCATGGAGAGGGCCTGGCTGGCCAAAGCTAGAGCCACCTACTCCCACACCCCAGGGCAGAGGAAGGAGGAGGACTTTCTCTCCTTAGATCCCAGGACACTCCCCCTGCTCAAACACCCTCTATGCTCCCCATTGCCTTTCAGGTTTTCTAATTCCTTGTCCTGGATTTACCTTCTTTCCAACCAACCTATTTGAGGAAACTGAGGCACAGAGCAATTAAGTAATTGCCCCCAAGGGAAATCAGGGCTAATCTGTGGGTACAATATGAGTTTTCCTAGTGGACATTAGTGAAATGGGGCTGGAAAGCATCACAAGCAGCGACAACAGCACGTGCAAAGGCCCAGGGGGTAAGCCTCAACATAGGCACATTTGGGGAACCCTGGAAGAGGGTGAAGGGACTTGGTCAGAGCTGCCAGTAGAAAAGATCCTGCAAGTGACCTGAAGTGAACATGTTGCAGGGGACAGGACTGGTGACCTGGAGACCAGGGAGGAGCCAGGGTCCTGTCCAGAGGGAAAAGGAGACGCCCAGAGGAAAGGCAGGTGGGTGCCAGATTTGAGACTCTGAGCTGGCCTTGGCTTGGGGAACAGCGCCACCTTGTGGGGTATTTGTGGAACTGCGCCTTCCTTCATTGGTTCATTCAGAGACATTTCTTGTGAGCCTGTTAGCGTTCCCAGGGTGTTTGACAGCCTGAGGATCTTTTTTTCCAGCATATTGTGGGGGGTACAAATGTTAAGGTTACGTATATTGCCCTTGCCCCCCCTCCTTCCTTGAGTCAGAGCCTCAAGCGTGTCCATCCCCCAGTTGGTGCGCATCACATTCATTATGTATGTATATACCCATCCCCTTGCCCCCCACTTGCCCGACACCCAATAAATGTTACTCCTCTATGTCCACTTAGGTGTTGATCAATTAATGCCAATTTGCTGGTGAGTACATGTGGTGCTTATTTTTCCATTCTTGGGATACTTCACTTAATAGAATGGGTTCCAGTTCTATCCAGGAACATACAAGAGGTGCTATATCGCCATTATTTCTTATAGCTGAATAGTACCCCATGGTATACATATACCACATTTTATTAATCCACTCATGTATTGATGGGCACTTGGGTTTCCACATCTTTGCAATTATGAATTGTGCTGCTATAAACATTCAAGTGCAGGTGTCTTTTTCATAGACTGTCTTTTGTTCTTTGGGGTAGATGCCCAGTAGTGGAATTGCTGGATCAAATGGTAGATGGATCAAATGCTGGATCAAATGATTGATTTGTATCGCTTTAAGGTATCTCCATATTGCTTTCCACAGAGGCTGCACTAGTTTGCAGTCCCACCAGCAGTGTAGGAGTCTCTCCACATCCACGCCAACATTTATAGTTTTGGGACTTGTTAATAAGGGCCATTCCCACTGGAGATAAGTGATATCTCATTGTGGTTTTGATTTGCATTTCCCTAATGATTAAAGATGTTGATCATTTTTTCATATGTTTCCTGGCCATTAGTCTGTCTTCTTTTGGAACGTTTCTGTTCATGTCCTTTGCCCACTTTTTGATAGGGTTGTTTGGGTTTTTTCTTGCTGATTTCCCTGAGTTCTAAATAGATTCTAGTTATCAGCCCTTTATCAGATGAGTAGCTTGCGAAAAATTTTCTCCCATTCTGTGGGGTGTCTGTTTGTTCTCTTGACAGTTTCTTTGGCTGTGCAGAAGCTTTTTAATTTGATCAGGTCCCATTTATTTATTTTTGTTGTTGCTGTGATTGCCTTTGGGGTCTTCCTTATAAATTCTTTGCCTAGGCCAATGTCTAGAAGAGTATTTCCAACGTTTTCCCGAGGATCATTTTTAACAGCTCCTTCCTATTAAGTAAAATTATTTTCAGCAGTAATCATTACATGAAACAAATAATAATGACCATTTAAGAAATGATAGTCACTATTACTGTCTGATATATTTTATGTAATAATGTAAGTCATTGTCCACTAACAAATGAATTTTAATAAAACTGAAATATCTGCAAATGGTACGATTTAAGAAGCCACTGAATTGTACCATTGATGTAATATTTTTTCATTTGTTCATAATTAAGAACAATTGATGAACAATTAAAAAACAATTTGCATTTTAGTATTATTCAAATTCAGTAATATAGTTCATATATAAAGTAATATGTGCATTTGCCAACAAAAAATATTATATGGCATGTTTGCGAAGTATCACTGTTCTAAATTTCAAACAAAATATCTGCACATGGTCACATACAGCATAACAAAATCGAAGTCATTCCAGCTGCATGTCTTTAGCTTTACAACCACTGCCCCTCATTGTTTGGAAAATAAAAGATATGCTCTCATGGCACTTGGAGACTCTCAAACAATTCCAAACCACTACGAACCTCTCAAAAGAAATGCACAAAGCTGAATCTGCGAGTGTCTGGGGTTGACTGTGTAACCGGGGTTCTCCGAACAAACTTCCACGCAGAATACAAAGTCCATTAATGGATAAGTAAGAAAATATGCTAATTGGAAGCATACATATAAATTATTAAACTCAACAGTAAATAGTGAAGTCAGAATAAAGTCTGTGCCTGAGTTAACAGTATTGTCTCAGCATCAATTCCCGGTTTGACAATGTGCTCACATGTCAACGAGGCTCTGGGGTTCCTCTCTGCCATCACCCGCTCACGCTCCACACAATAGTGAAAGCTCCTGTCCCTCCCCCACGGGCCCACAAAACGGCCACAGGTGTCCCAGATCTCCTGGCTTCGCTCCACAAATCAAAAGAGAGAAAACGCCTTCCCAGAAGCCCCAGCAAATCTCCTTGCCTCTCGCCAGCTCTGAGTGGGCTCCGTGCCTGCCCTTGAGCCCATCGCTCTGCCAGGATCACTGGCTGGGGGCTGAGGACGGAGCCAGTCACGGCTGCAGGATGGGTGGACGCACGCTCAGAAAAGAAATGCAGGGCCCTGGCTCCATGTCACCCCACCTATTGGGTTCTGAGCTCCAACAGCCCAGTTTTCCATGTGGGGAAACTGAGGCAGCAAGACTTGAGGACTGTTCTGAGCAAGATGGCACTGGCATCTGGGGCACCAGGTGATGAAGACCACAGCTGGGTGGGGTTCAGGGTTTATTAAAATCTCTCCAGATGCTGCACCCAGCATGGGGAGCACCCATCTCGCATAATCCAGCTGTGCACATGGCCCCCTCAGCCCCCACACCTACCTGGCCTCAGTTTCCCCCACTCTGCCCCAGCCCTTCACTCACACAGAGATGCTCCTATGGCAGAGAAGTGGGGAAACCAGCCCCATCTTCCCAGGGGTCACTTCCAGGCTTGGCCCAAACGATACAAGTCCCTTTCAGGCACTTCTCATACCCCAGCCCCTCTCCTGGCTCTTCCCCTCACCCCGGAAAAGATGAGGCCGCTCAAACACGAGGGAAGCTGAGTTTATTCCAAGGATGTACGTCTTGCCATCTGAGAATCCCCAGGGTCGTCCCCCTTCGGGGCCCAGAGGAAGGAGGGAGCTGGCAGGCAACATCCTCCCAGCTCCAGGCCCCAGTGCGAAACCAGCCCAGGACCCGGCTGCAGGCTGCACAGCCCTGTCCTCCCGGCCCTTTCACTGTCCCCCAGCCAGACAGGACAGGGGACAGGCAGGGAATGCAGCCTCAGACGCCCCCCACCACAGCCCTGCTGGTAGGAGGAGAGGCACTGAGCTGACCCCTGCCAGACTCGGGGCCTGGGACAGGCAGAGGGCAGAGGATGAAAAGCCGGTGTGGGGTCCACAGGCCCTGGGCGGCCGCAGCTCAGGCGCAGACAGCCTCCGCGCCCTGTGCACACGGCTGGGGCGCCTCGGCCTTGCTGGCCAAGCTGTAGTAGCAGGCCCGCATGCGCTGCTCCACCGTCTGGAAGTCTGGGCGATCCTCCCACCTGCGGGGTAGATCCAGCCACTGAGGCACTGCACCCCAGGACCCAGCTACAGCAGGGCGGTGGGACTCGGCTGCCGGGGTGGTGGGACATCGGAAAGGCCTCTTGGAACTTGGGTGTCGCTGCTGACATACGGGATGTCACCATAACCAGGTAGTGCTGACCACAGAGGACTTAGGGAATTGACTTGATTGGGTTTCAAAGTGACAACTATCGACCATGGGGAACTGGGACACTGAATGCTGAAGTATGAGTACGTGCCAGGGCCAGGGCATTCGTGCGCTCAGCATGGGATCACACGGGTGGAAGTGTGTGCTCCTAACCGAACAGAAGGCTGGATGGAGTACCATGGTGGGTTTTGCTGGGGGGACCTGGGGTGTTAATTGTCCTGTGGGGGGGACACCCGTGTGCCGTGCTGGGTGCTGGGCTCTTTGGGTACTGGGTGTTGGTGCACCGGGTGTTTCCTGACAGAAGCCGGATCAATGCACCTTGGAGAAGGATGGACTGATCGACTGGGGTGTCTCAGCCCCAGTGTCCTAAGTGTCAGGCAGTCGGAGTGTCCACACATCGCACGGCCAGCGTAGGGCGCCAGCTGGTTGGGGTGCGTGTTGCCTGTCGTCTGATGGGGAGTTGGGCTCTTGACGGGGTTAGGAGTCGGATGTCCATGTGTGAGGCTTCAACCACACGGACGTGGGCGCTGGACACGCTGAGTACTGGGGTTGAGTGCTGGCTGGTGGGGCCCTGAGGTGTTGGCTACTGGAGAATTATCCCACGCCCTGAGTACCGGTGTCATAGTCCGGTTAGCAAAGTACGGACTTGTCTGAGAATTGCGGGCTCCGTGTGCTGAGTGTTCACTGTGGGGCCGAGGTTGTAAATGCCAGAGCACGTCCACAGGCAGGATGGCAGGCTGCTGCCCACCGTAGGGCCAGGGTGTTGGGCAGCTGAGCATGCCGTGGGAGACTAAGGTATTGCATGCTGGAAAGGCCATGAGCTGAGTGAGGGGCTCTGGGTGGGATGACACTGGGTAGAGCTATGTTGACACCCACTGATTGGGGCACCAGGACCCCCTGCCCCAGGCCCAGGTGTTGTTCCACTGGGTCCCCTCCCGCCTGGCACTCACTCGTAGGTCCAGCAGTCGCTCATGAGCTTGTACAGTTCGGGCGGACACTCCGGGGGGCACTCCATCCGATTGCCTTGCTGGATGAAGGCCAAGACCTCCGGGCCCTTCATCTTCTGCTCAGATGAGGATGAGGCACGTGTGAGCCACCAGGGCTCCCTCCCACCTTGCCCCGCCCGCCACCTGCCTGTCTCTGCCACCTGCCTTGTAGGGCTTCTGGCCATAGGACAAGGCCTCCCACATGGTGACCCCGTAGCTCCAGACGTCACTGCGGCTGGAGAACTTGCGGAAGTTGATGCACTCAGGCGCGTACCACTTCAGCGGCCACTTCCCCGCTGAGCGGGCCTGGGGAGGGGAGACGCTACCAGGGTAGGGCTCAGGGACCCTCCACCCAGCCACCCCATCCACCTGGGCACCGCTGGGGCAGGGCTTACGGTGTAGTAGCTGTCGTCGGCACCCAGCGCCTTGGAGAGGCCGAAGTCGCTGATCTTGGCGTAGTGCCGGTTGACCAGCAGGACGTTGCGGGCAGCCAGGTCGCGGTGCACGAAGTTCTTCTCCTCCAGGTACTTCATCCCCATGGACACCTGGTGCAGCAGCTCGGCCACGTTGCTGACGGGGATCTCCTCCCTGGGGCAGAGGGGACAGGGCAGGGAGAAGACCGCTCAGGTTCCCAGGGATCAAAGCCCTCTTCTCTGACCCAGCTGAGCACAGGCCACATCACCACATGCTCAACACACGCCCACCGAGCACCTGCCACGTGCTGGGCATGGGGCTGGGGAGAGCCGTGAACAAAGCAGGCAAAATCCCTGCCCTCGCCCAGTCTCAAGACTGTGTCACGCATAGGCCACGTTCCCAGTTGTACACCTCTGCCTACACCCGTGGGGTGCCTTCGGGGTGTCATGGGCTCCACGCACACGCCTGGCTCCCTGACGCCATCTTCTCCAGCAGCTCTGACCTTCCGTGGCACTGCCCTCTGCTCCTCTCTCTCACAGCCAATCTGCCCGCACAGCCTGGCAGCTCTGCCTTCAGATTCTCTCCGGGACCCCACTTCGTCCCACCTCTGCTTCTGCCACCCTGACACAGGCAGCGCCGTCACCCTCCACCTGGACCAGAGTGGGCCGTTCTGCCCCTCCTCTGCTCACAGCTCCCAGGCTCCCCCTCACTCGGGGTAAAAGTCCAGGTCCCCCTTGCAGCCCACAAGAACCCGCGCAACCTGCCCCACACCAGGCAGGGCCTTTGCACTGGCTGTGCCCTGTGCCGGGAGTGCTCTCCCCTCACCTGTGCTTGGTGGCCTCCCTCCGTTTGCTCAAATGTCCCCTGCTCCCTGCACTGCCGCCCCCACTCTCTCGACCCTCCCGGGCGGCGGTATTCTCATTTCCACAGCACCATCTTCCGCCACACTCCAGATTTCACCAGGATGATCATGGCCTCCTCTCCACCCCGAATGCAAGGCAAGGAGCTTTCCCTCTCTCGTTTGCTGATTAATCCCAAGTGCTAGTGACAGTTCCTGCCACAGAGAAACTGCCCAATATAAATACCCGTCCAACAACTGAATGCACGCGCCGGGCCGCACCGGGCAGGCGTGTGCACCAGCGAGAGCGTGGGCGTCGGCAAAACTGTGCCGCGGCCAGCCCAAAAATCCGTGTCTGTTAGGGGGAGAGTTTGGGGCATGAGGGAACACAAATGAAACTGCAAAAATGTTCAGTGAAGGGCCAGATAGCAAATGATTTAGCCTTTTCAGGCCACATAGGGTCTCTGTCACATATTCTTTGTTTTGGGTTCTGGTATTTTTAACTTTTTAAAAATGTAAAACCATGCAGCACAAAACAACGTGGTTTTGCTGCCCCTGCGTTAGTTTCCAGACAGTCAATGACAGGCAGCACCCCGTGGGCCCTGAGTGTGGCCCTGAATGTGGCTCTGGGTGTGGCTCTGGGTGTGGCCCTGGGTGGCCGTGAATGACAGAGCTAACAGCTACGAAGCCGTCACTGGCAGGGCCAGACGCTCTTCCGGGAGCATTACAGGTGTCAGCTTATTTAATCCTCACAAGACGCCCTGAGGTAGCTCCTGCCATCTCCGAGGTGGTACGAATGGGGAAACTGAGGGTGAGCAGCTCTGCCTCGCGAGCGTGGGTGTCGGAGGGTGCGGGGCGTGGGCGAGTGTCCCAGGTGTCCGGGAAGATGTAAAAATAAGTGCAAGGACACGGAGTGTTGTGCACCGGCTTGCGCACACGGGACCCAGCGTGGGCATGTTCCCAGGAGTGAGTGTGTGTCCGCCCTGCCCGGAGGCCCCCGCCACCCGTGGCCCGGCCCCAGGGACTCGCCTCTTTCCCAGCAGGAACTTGTGCAGGGGCCCGCTGCCCGCCATCTCCATGACCAGCATGAGGGCCTCGGCCTGGCAGACGCCGATGAGCCGCACGATGTAGGGGTTGTCCAGCTGGTGCATGATCTGAGCCTCGCGCATCATCTCATCCTTGTCCGTCTTCTCCGTGCCCTGCTTCAGCACCTTGATGGCCACGTCGATCTGCTTCCTGCCCCGGCGCAGGGCCCCGAGAGGGAGGCGTGTGGGTGAGCTCAGCCCTGCCTGCCCACCCGCCGTGTTTCTTCCTCCCTGAGCTGCCTGGCGGGTGCTGTAGCTCATGCCCCCACCCCGGCTGCAAGGAGACTCCACTGAGGACAGCTCGCTGCCAAGTCCCTCACCGGAACCACCCAGCACTGAAAACAACTGCTTTATCCAGAACTGCTCCCCAGGGCAGCCCATGTCGTGGCCCTTCGATGCAGGGTCAGGGCCCTGGAATGGGCGTCTGCACTCAGCCAAGCTCTCCTGGCCCAGGTGTCCCCAAGCTCCCTCCAGGAATCCTGCAGTGTGCAATGTCCTATCCCAGGGTTTGTTTCCCGTGCACGCTGCCGTGAGACAGCAGACATCCAGCTCCCACCCCACAGCCTGGGGGGCCGCTCCCCTCCACCCCACACAGCGGCGCCCCCACCTGCCCCCACAGCAGGGCAGCCGTACTTGCGCATGCGGTAGACGCCCTGGCGCACTGAGCCGAAGTTGCCACAGCCAAGTTCTATGTCGGCTATGAGGAGGTTCTCGCGCTTCAGGAAGAGCTTCTTGTCCTTGAGCTCCTCGGGGTCGCTGTAGGGGCTCTCGTACACGCTTGTGTCCATGGGCATTGGCCGCTGTTTGCCTGGGGACGCTAGGCGGGCTGGGCACACACAGCCATGCACTCCCAGGTCAGGGGCAGGGAGGGGCAGGGGAACGGGGCGGGGGGAAGGCAGCCTCAGCCCCCACAAGGCTTGTGCACCAGACAAGGGTGTGTTCCCTGGGAGCATGCACAGCACATGGGTGCACATGCATGTTCATGTGTGTGTTCACATGCATGCACTTGCACACACTCCTGGTCACAGCTGTGGGTGCCCTGTGAAGCCATGTACAAGTAGACTATAGAGGCAAATGCATCAGTATCCATGTGTCATCGTTAGTGTGCCAGCTGTGGTGTGCGTGTGCGTAGTCACACGTGTACACCTATGCTGGGCCTGCCTGTGTCTACGTATGCACATGCAGCCACGATTACAAGGCCTCGGAAGGTGAGCATCTGGGTGCACGTGTAACGACGTGTGTTCTCTGCACACGTGGGAAACATGAGCGCCCACAGCACAGTGCTCTAGGAACGTGCCTGTCTGCCTGGGCTCAAATCCCGCCTCCACCCCCGCGCGGCTGCAGGACCTCAGACGGCGGCTTCCCTTCCTTCTGGTCTGTAAACCAGAGTAAGCACCAAAACCACTTCGTGTGGCGTGTCAGGAGGATGGCAATGAGCTCACACACAGTGACCTTGGAACATGACCGGCACACAGTAGGTGCTCAACAAACCTGTGTCTGTGCACAGGGAGCCCTGGGAGTGGCCAGCTGTACCCACTGTGTGTCAGCAGCCCTGGGACGCACGCACACACAGGCATGCGTGACGGGTGTGGGTGTGTGTGGGCACAGGGGCAAGCCAGGTCAGCCACCCACATAGTCCCCGTGAAACGCCACAGCCTGGCCAGGGACCCTGCTCTGAGCCTGGCAGGGGCCCCACGCACACCCACCTCTGCCAGCTCACCTGGTTCCGGGGTGTATCCATCTGAGTTGAGGGTGTCAACCCGTCTCTGAGGCTAAAGGTCACAGGGTCAACAACAGTCAGCAAGGCCGAGCTAGGGGCACCCAGCCCCTCCCAGGAGACCCCCTTCCCCTCCAAAGCACCCCGCCCTCCCTCCCAGCCTCCCCGGGGAGCACACCCACCCAGCTCCACCTGAGCCCCCAACTCTGCGGAGCGGCTGACTCACCTGGGTGAAGGTGGAGGGGTGGGCTGGGAGCGTGGGAGCAGCGGCCTCTGGGGAGAGAAGGGGCAGTGAGGGTCGGGGTGGGTCTCCAGCAGCCCCGCTGCCCGCGCACCCTGCCTGCCCACGCACCTGAGGTGGCGCTGGAGTTGGGACACACCTCCTTCAGGCAGTAGATGAGCCCGTCGGCCTTCAGCTTCAGATACTCCACCAGCTGTGGGGAGCGGGCGGCTGGCAGGGGCTCCTCTCTCCCCAGGAGCCCGAGAGCCCCGGCTAAGCACAGCGTCTCTCCCAGGACAGGATGTGCCGGTGGCCTACCTGCCAGAGCGTGTCAAACTTGGTCCCCTCAGGAATGCAGTACTTGCCCGCCTTGTCCTGGCTGATGAGGTAGTGGTACACAGTCTTCCCGTAGACCAGGGACAGGGCATACGTGCCCTGCTCCTTCCGGGGCCTCAGCCTGGAGAGGCAGGGCAGGGATGTCACCCAGCAGCCACCCGGGGCCCTCCTGTGCCTCAGTTTCTCATACACACACACACACACCAGTGGGTTCTGCACCCTAGAGCCCCATGGAAAAGCAGCAGGACTGGGGAGGCTGAGGCCAGGCCCCACTCAGCCTCCAGACCACTGGTAAGCGGCTGGTGGGTGAGGCAGGGGCGGGAGGGCCACCGCCATGTTCACAGGGAGACGCACAGTCGTCCAAGGGCAGACAGGCGGCCATTCACAGGGGGATATTTGACTACCCACAGCGACACTGAGCCCTGCGTGATCACTCAGCCACCCATGAGAGCTTGGCCATGGTGGGTGGAAACACCATGCCCCCCACGGTGGAATACTTGGCTGCCCATGGCCAGACACCTGCCATCTACTGGGGGACACAGTCATCCACGGGGCCTCTCAGCCAACAAGGGGTACACTCGGCCACATACTTGGCCAACCATGAAGGAATACTTGGTCTTCTATGGCACACAGCCTTCAACAGGGGGACTTAAGACCGTTCTCTTGGGGAGAGAAAGCCATTTCTATGCAAAGACCCACACAGGAAAGTACAACTCCATGACCAGCTCACAGGACACCTTTGTGCAAATCAGAACAAGTCACCTTTTCATCACAATAGACCAACCAATAATCATAATAGACTGGCCTTTGACAGAATGAGATACCTTCTGCTAAAAATCTGTCAAAATAAATATAGAAATCTTCCATGTCTATGATGGGAATTGAGTTCCTCCAAGCTGGTGCCTTTGTGTGGTGAGAATGTGTCCGGCCATTCCCACCAGCCCTGAGTACACACACGTACACGCACACACACACAGGACAATTTATTCAGACACTGGCACCCTTGCATGAAATCCCATGGTGCAACCAGTCAACGTCTATCACAAAACAGTATTGTTTTGAGTCACTAGCATGAGGCTCTATTCCGGGGTTCAGTGTAGATTTCCAGTGGAGAAGAAAGGGCGGCTGGCCCTGGGGTTCTCAGAGCTATGGCAGTTGGAGGCACTGACCACGAATCTCAGGAACTGATGGCCTGCAAGTGGGCCCTCCAATGTGCAAACCCCTCCAAAGTGCCCTGTCCAGGGATGTACATTCACTGGACAGATATCTACCGAGTGTAGACCACGGTCCAGGCCCTATTCCGAGGGCAGGGATAGGGTAGTGAGCAAGACAGATGTGGGCCCCCCTTGCAATCAGGCCCTTCCTTAGGCCAAAGGAACAGGGAAATAGCCCCTGAGTGAGGGGCAGCTGTGACCATCCCTTTCATTCCTCAACAGCATATTCCCCAAAGAACAACACAGTGAAGGGTGGTGTAGTTCCCAGGCTAGCCCACAGCAGCCCGGGGATACGTGGAGATACAGGAAGTCAGGGTGGGGGTGATGGGGGAGCACCAAAGGGCAAGGAGGAGAACCCCACAATAAACTAGGAAACACAAACATCCCACAGAGAGAAAATCACTTCCATCACTAGACTAGCAGGCTAGCCTGGAGGTTATGGTCTCCAGTGAGTAGTTGTCTTTTGAGACATAAGAATTCCTCCTGAGGGTCACAATCTTGAGTTTTAAACTGTCAACAGAAACTCAACACCAAGCTGCTTTTCAGCAAACAGCAAGCCTCCTCCCCTCCCCTCTTCTCTCCTCTTTTGCTTTGTCCATCTCTTTCATTCTTTATTCTGGAACTAATAATTTCTTGCTTTTTTGTTTATTTAAATTTCTGTGTGGAATACTGGGGGAAGAAACAGCCACAATATCAGGCAGCTCTTCCCATCCATTGTGCATGTGTCTATCCCCTGAATAAAGGATCAACCATGTGACTTGCTTTGGCTAATAAGACATTAGTAAACATGACATGGCAGAGGCTTGAAAAATGCTTGAGCACTGAGGCCTGCCTGCCCTCTCTTGCTTTTCCTGGCAGCCTTGCAACCACCAAGGAAATGAGTCCTACTAGCCCACCAGAGACACCACATAGAAGAGGACCAAGGCACCCCAGCCTGCCAACTGCCACTCATGTAAGAGAAGCCATCATAGACCATCCGGTTGGCCTGTGGCCACATGAGTGAGCTCAAGAAACCAGCAGAATAATCACCCAGCTGAACTCAGGCCAAATTGCCAACCAAATCAGCCAAATTGCCAAGCAAATCAAGAGTGAATAAATGACTATTGTTTTGCCTCTACACTTCAGGGTGGTTTGTTATACAGCAATGAGTAACTGATACACTCTGTTTGGAGACATGTGAGTTCATAAAAGATCAGCCACTGATTCCTGGATAATACCCACACAGGCTAAGACATTGGTGTTATCACCATATATGCTTTGTTGCCACAAATTCTACTTTATTTACCAAAAAACCACTAGGTGGTGGCAGTTCTTTGTTCACTTGCACTTGAGCTAGAGGGATAGGCTAAGAAATCAACTTGTATCTTCACTCTTAAAATAATATATAGAACTTGATAGTAGCGATAAAAATAATAGCTACCATTTATTAATATATTGGCTCTAAATTCTTCACATATCTGTCCTACAATCTTCACAGCACTCTCCACTGTGTAGGGACTATTATTATCCCCATTTTGCAGATGAGGAAACTGAAGCACAAGATTACATCTCTTATCTAAATTGCACAGTTGGTAAGAGAGGGAGCCAGGATCCAAACCCATTTCTGATTCTACAGGTAATTGCTACCTATGACTGACACCAGCTCTGTCACAAATTACCTGTGTAACCCTGAGCAAGTTGCTTATTCTCTCTGTGCCTCAGTTTCCTCATGTGTAAAATGAGAGAACTGGACTAAATCAGAGATTCTTGACCTAAAAAGGGCTCTGAGGGTGAGGTTCAGGACCAACCATGATCTTGTATAACTGTCTGCAAAGTCTTTGGGGTAAATATGTTTTGGGGTTGTGGAAGGGGCTTAGCTTCAGTGGGATTCCCAAAGGGATCTGTGATCCAGAAGAGGTTAAGAAACACTGGAAAATGTACTCTTGAAGGCCTTTTCCAAGGATTAAGTTTGTTTTCACAGTGAATAAACTAATACCCCAAAATGCAGCCAATTGCAAAATAAAGCCAATATTTGCTGCACACAGCCTTAGATAGATACATTTCCCTCCATTCTTCAGCAGCTCTGACCCATGCTCAGCAGTAAGTGTGGTCCTGATCTTATTTCTAAGCCTGAGTGACATGTGTCTTTCCATCACACCCTAACCAGCTCTGAGTATGCCCCACCCATCATGATCTACCAGGATGTTGCTCTCACTCCACCCCACGTGGGAGTCTGTTGCTACAGCTTTGACTTTAACCCCTAACTAACCACATGCTGAGAAAGCAGTCATTGACTACAGGAACCACAAGAAGAATCTATAAATAATTTCTGTCCACAGCATGCCTTGTCTAATTTTCCAGGAGTCCAGCTCCTGGTAGCTGCTCCTGGTCTCTTGAAATTTCCCTGGAATAAGTCACTGTTCATAATGCTACTATTCCAACTGCTTGCAGATGTCACTGCCAGCCTCCATCTCTCTGCTGTGCCCAGAGCCTGGCTGTCCCACCTGCACCTCCCCACCACCAACACTGGCCCTATTTGCCTTGGAGACATCAAGCCAGTTTGATGCCCAAAGCATCCACAGCTGCTCAAAGTCTCCCTGGTTTTCCTGAGATTCCTCTTATCTCACCAGAGTGGTTAACCCAAAGCCTGTCATACACTCTGCTGTGTTATGCAAAAAGTTTGCAAACTTTTCCTTCGAGCAGCCAAATTCTTTGTAGAACATCATATCCTACTTGGAAGCCTAAGATAGGAAACAGATCAAAGCTGAGCCTCTGCTGTCGTTGAAGCCAGATTGCAGCCTCAGAATCCCACGTGCTCATCTTTCACTCACTTCCCCCACCCCTAGAATGCTTCCATACTGCCAGGAGCCCTTAGGGAATCTGGGGGGAGTTTTTAAAACCACTGGAGTGGGGGGGGGTCATTATCTCCACGTGTATGTGTGAGTCCAGCATGGGGAAGAAAGTCAGGGGGAGGGAGGGAAGGAGAGGAGAAAAGTGGAAAACCAGGACAGAAGAGGCAGAGACTGGGGGGCTGAAAAGCTACGCTGGGGACTTGAGGGGAAACCAAAGAAGAAACCCAAACTGTAACATCAAAGGAAGAAGGGTTTGCATTTTTATGAAGGAGAAAGCAGAGACAGGAGAAAGAATTGGCTCCATCAGTAGGAAGAGCTGTAGAATCTCCCTTTGCTGTGTCCAGCTCGGGGGGAGCCCCTGGACTTTCAGGAGTAACATGCACATGGGCGACTGGGTTATGGATATGTGTGAGACGTGGGACCGAATGTTAGCAGCGTCTTAGCAAGTGTCACACCGGGGGTGGGGAGCATGTGGCCAGCCATCGCCACGCACTGGAAGATGCAGCCTCCAGAGGCACCAGGGGCAGGTCCTGGCTCAAGCTGACAGTCCAAAGGAAGGAAAGGCCACACGTCCATGCCTGAGCTGCCCAAACCTTGAATGTGACCCCCTAATCCAAACCCCATGACAATCTGTTTACACAAACAGCTCTGCCTTCATTCCCCTCCCTCGAGGAGTCCACAATCCCACAGTGACTTTGGTTTTGGCCATGTGACTTGCTTTGACCAATAGGACCTCAGGGACATTACACAAACAGAGGCTTGAAAAGCATCCACATACTGGAACATGCCTCTCTGGCTGTTCTTGGGAACCCTGCCACCACCGCCACGTGAACGAGCCCAGGCTGGCCCGAGGCATGACGACTGCGCTACAGCCGGCTCGTCCCCAAGACACTGAGCCAACAGCCAGTCACGCGAGCTTGGCCATCCCAACCTGCTCAGTCCCAGCCCAGCTGACCCCAACCAGAAGAACTGCTCAGGGGCTCACGGAATGATGAGAAGTAATAAACTGTTGTTTTGAGCCAAAAATTCTTGGGGTGGTTTGTTCCATAGCGAGGCTAATTGCCACTAATGCAAAGGCTTCTTCTTGGAGAAAACAGCCCTGTGTTAAGTTGTTCAAAAGCCATCCTCGCAGCTGTGCATTATCTGAGGCATGCATTCAGGAGCCCCTCGGAAGCCTTGGAAACTTCACTCCAACTTACAGAATAAATCTGTAAGGTAGGGTGAAAACATTATTTTATCAGCCAACAACAGAGTCTTGGGGAGGGAAGTGCATCTTGTGGGAGACCAGTAGCAATGTGCGTCGGCCTCACACAGGCGCCGAAATCAAGGAAAGTGGCCATTTCCTCCAGTGGGTTGGCCCCAGGAGAGGGAACAGCCCTAGGAGAGGCAGGTGACAGCGAGGATTCCACTGGGCAGAGTCTCAGCCAAGAAGCTCTCGTGGGAAGGGAGGCCCCAGGAACTGTCCCCGCAGATTTCTTGGGGGAGGATACTGGACTTCCTGAGGTCACTGGAGAAAGGCAGGCACCAGGCTTCTCTACAACTGAAGGCCAGAGTGACCTCAGCTGACATCAAGATGACATGTGTTACATGATAGAACCTGTGTCCAAGCCAGAAAGCAGCAGCCCCAGGAGGGCTTTCAAACACCCAAAAGAGTTTTTAAAATAGTTTTAGAGATTCTTTCACAATAATAAACTCACGAACACATATTCACCCACATATAATAAGAGCTAATTGAGAGTCACAGTAGTGGAGGACAAAAATAAAAAGAACAAAAAGAGCTAACACTGAATGCATTTTTCATGTATGCCAGATACCATACTATCGCTTTACACAAATGTCATCCTTGTAACAGCTCCGGGGTAGGTACCGCCGTCGGCTACAGGACAGCTAGAGGGACTGCTTCAACACCCTCCCAGGGTCACCTCCCTGCCCTCCCCTCCTCCCACTGCCGTCCTCACCAACTCAGCTCCAGCACACTGGCCTCCTCTATGTCTCTGGAATACACCAAATAAATCCCTGCCGCCTGGTCTGTGCACCGGCCATCTGTTTGCCAGGAACACCCTTCCACCTGAAAGTTGTTCCGCTCACTTCTCACCTCCTGCGGTTCTTTACTCAAGTGTCGGCTTCTCAGTAATGCTGCCTCTGGCCTCTTAACCTAAAATCATCCCACCGTCCTCCCCCCGCTGCACACACACAGCCCTAACCATTACCTGCCGTAGTCCATATTTTATTGATTCTTTTTTTTCTACCTGCCCCACGAGGACAGGCACTTGTGTCTGTCTGGTCCACTGCCATGTCATCAGTGGCTGGCACACAGTAGGTATTGGGTACATGTCGAAGGCAGGCAAGTTCAGCTACTTGCCCAAGGTCCACAGCCAGTTGGTGGCAGACGCTGGATTCCAACCCAGGCCGACCATTGCGGAGGCTGTCCTAGTCACCGGCCCCATCTTCCCCTGTAAAAGCCCCTGTGCACGTGTGAGCACTGGCGCGCCCCTCGCCGCCCACCCGCACTGCGCGCTCAGGTCTGCCCGAGTCCTCGCCGCGCCCAAGCCCCAGGCTCCAGGCCCCACGTACAGGAACTTGCCGTCCGTCTGCGCCCCCGAGTACAGCTTGCGCTCGGCCTCCTCGCGCGTCAGGCTGCTGTGGTACCAGGGCATCCGCTCGTGGGCCGTTGTAGCAATGAGCTTTTCCACCTGGGGCGCCTGGCTGATGATGGCCTGTTCCAGCGCCTCGCCCTAGGGAAGGAGGGGCGAGTGTACGTTGCCACAAGAACGCCCTTCCAGCTCCAGGATCCTCTTGACTGCCCAGTCCCATAAGACCCCCCATCCCACCCAGGCGCCCCTAGGGTGCGTCCTGCAGACTGTTGAGGACAGCCTCCGCGGTCCCCATAGTCCCCTCCCCAATCCATCCAGGGAGGAACCCGGCCTCAGGCCCCACCCGCCAGCCCCGCCCAAGCGCATTTCCAGCTTGAAGATGCGAGGTAGGTAGCTGGGCACTGCCGTGGCGTCGGTGTGCGAGCTAAATAAGACTGCAGCCATCGTCCCACAGGCCGCCCTGCACGAGGGTGCACCCTCGCCTCGCGCACCATCCTCTCCGGCCCTGACCCCAGTCCAAGCCTCGCCCTCTGCAGGCCCAGTGAGCCCTCCGCCTTCCTGTGCGGCATAGTCACGCGCACAGCGTGGGGCAGGCTGTGGAAGGTGACGGCCACCACAGCCACTACGGAGCCCCTGCCTCCAAGGGCTCCTCCCAGGTGCTGTCCCCAACCAGGTCCGCACCCCTCCAGATTCCAAATGGGACAGGCTGGTGAAGACGACCTCTCCCTCTTCCGCAGAAACCCCGGGTCCCCCCACGGCCCTCTCCGGGCCCTCCCCTCCAGGCCCCGCGCTCTCACCTCCAGCTTCCACGTCTGGCGCACGTAGTCGCGCACCATGGCGTCGCGCAGGCTGTCGAAGACCCCTGGCTGCGGCTCCAGGCCGGACGGCCGGTTGCACGGCTTGCGCAGGTTGCAGGGCAGCCCGTCGGGGTCGCGCGAGTAGAACTCGCAGAGCTCGGCGGGGCCACAGTGCGCTTTACCGCCAGCGATGGCGTAAGTGCCGTTGAGCTGGCGCTCGATGGGAAAGTGGTGGAAGCGCACGTCGTGCACCAGCGACAGCACGTAGCCGCCCAGCGAGCGCAGGCACTGGCGCAGCAGGAAGAGCCCGTCGGCCATGCCCGCCAGCTTCAGGTGATCCTCGGCCTCCGCGCGCGAGATGCTGCCGTAGAAGAAGGGCAGGTGCGCCGCGGGGTCCGGCATCGCCGCCGCTGCCCCGCGCGGGTTGCGCGCCCCTGCACCTCGCCAAACCCTGCGGGTTCAGACGGGGATGGGAGGCATGTCAGGGCCTCCGCCTGCCGATGGATCGTGCAGAGCCTGCTTCATGCCACAGGCAACTCGGAAAGGAGCTGCAGCTTGCTGGGCATGTATCGAGGAGTCCCAACTCCCCTCTGGACGCCCTGATACCGCCCTGGTCCCCACACACCAGCACCTGGAATCATCCACTCATTTCCCAAACACGTGTCAGATTCTTATTGCTTTTCAGGCGCAGTGCTAGGAATATGGATGCATAAGGCAGGCATGGTCCCCCCCCCCCTCCTGGAGATAGCACGCTAAGATTGAGGTCAAGATTATAAAAAAAAAAAGTAAGTAGAGCCATATTAAGAGAGAGAAGAGGTCGCTGTAGCTACAGTGGTCACTTTCTCTGAGGTCACTTTCTCTATCTAGCACTTGAGTCAAGATTTGAAGGATGTGGAGGAGCAACTTTTCAAAAAGCACAGGAAGGAGCCTATCCCTCCCGCAGAGGGAACAGCAAGTGCAAAGGCCCTGAGGCAGCTGGAACAAGTTTTGCCCATCAAAGGAGCCTCACTCCATTAGCCCTCCCCCACTGCCTTCCATTGATTCTTTTGCCTCAGACTTAGCAGTTCCCCTGGCCCTGCCCCTCTGCTTTTGTTGACCAGTTTCTACAAAGCATAAGCTAATGTATATCCATCAGCAGGGAATTGGTTAAAAACATTAGGGTTTAACTCCACAGTGAACTTTGATACAGCTATTAAACAAAACAAACGTGATCAGGAGGAGGAGGAATTAAAGATATTTAGGTAGGTGTCTGCTAAGATGGATAACTTAAAATTGTCTACCTTCAAATTTCTGGGGTGATTGTGATGCCCTATTTCTTGATAGGGATTAGGTTAACACATAGAGGAAAATGAAAATCTGCGTGACCCCCCCCCAAATCCCTTATGCAAAAAGGAAGTCAGTGCTGGAGGCTGTCATGCAGCACTTCCAAATGAGTAGTTGTTCTACATTTGGCATTAGCCAGATCCCCCAGGTCTGGCTAAAGGTAAAGGCCTCAGTATCTACAGGAACTGCCCCACAGACCATTCAGAAGGAAAAGTCTGCTGCCTCCTAACAAAGGATTGCAAGTTGTAACTGTATTACAATTCTGTGTGTTTCTATGTGACTATATTGTCTAATCATCTTTCTCTCATCTCTCTCTTTTTCTATTCTTCTATTATAAATGTAGATTTTCTGCATTTCTAAAGTCTATGTCTATGAATTGTTAACATTGCTCATGCCATATCTCTCTCTCTTCCTTTGTTTCTTTTGCTGCCTGCTCCCTTTACTGAGTCCATCCCTCTTTAGAGATCACAGGTACAGATGCTTCTTGTGTTGTCAAACTTTGCTTCAAATCTCTCTCTATGAGGGTCTTGCTCGCAGTACCGGTTTGGGGTGTCTATCTATCTCTGTATATTTTCTCTCTGTTTTGTGTTATTTTGTGTGCCTCCTCAATAAATAAAATCCTTTAAAATTATTTGTATGTGTTGCAGAATGTTTAGGTTTTGTGTATGTGTATTTACCTGAAGCATCCAGAAGTATATATTCACTGTAAATTGGATTTTTTTTTGCGAGGGGGGGGGCAGAACTCACTCTGTGAGGTAGAGTGAGTGTCATGGCATCAGCCTAGACTCACAGAACTCAACTCTTGGGCTCAAGCAAATCCTGCTGCCTCAGCCTCCCAAAATAGCTAGGACTACAGGCATGCGCCACATGCCCGGTAATTTTCTTTCTTTCTTTTTTTTTTTTTTTTTGGACAGATCTTGCTTTGTTGCCCCAGGCTAGAGTGAGTGCTGTGGTGTCAGCCTAGCTCACAGCAACCTCAAACCTGGGCTCAAGCCATCCTTCTGCCTCAGCCTCCCGAGTAGCTGGAACTACAGGCATGCCACCATGCCCGGCTAATTTTATATAATATATATTAGTGGCCAATTAATTTCTTTCTATTTATAGTAGAGACGGGGTCTCACTCTTGCTCAGGCTGGTTTCGAACTCCTGACCTCGAGCAATCCGCCCGCCTCGGCCTCCCAAAGAGCTAGGATTACAGGCGTGAGCCACCGCGCCCGGCCTAATCTTTTCTATATATTTTAGTTGTCTAGCTAATTTCTTTCTTTCTTTTCTTTTTCTTTTTTTTTTTTTTTTTTTTTAGTAGAAATAGGGTCTCGATCTTGCTCAGGCTGGTCTTGAACTCCTGACCTCGAGCAATCCTCCCACCTCAGCCTCCCAGAGTGCGAACATTGATTGATGGATGGATAGAGACAGAGGGATAGATGGATGGAGAGACAGGTAGATAGACAATTGTTGTTATTCACAGGAGTTCTATAAAGTCACTGCAAACAATGAATTAGTAAATATTGAACCATTGCCCCTGGAGGAAATAGGTTCCTGCAAGACTGTTCACAACATTTTCATCAACTGATCATTATGTAACCTTGGTTTCTGTGTGGTTTTGTTTAAATGTGTCTTATTTAATATATATTGTTGATTCATTAACATTGAGCTCTCGGACATCAGCACTGTAACCATAAGCTTATCTAACACGTTTTCTCTGTGAGGCTCATCACAGCCTTCTTGTGCTCAGGAGCACTAAGCAGCACGTCAGCACATTTGGGGGCCATTTTATATACTGAAATCACAGAGAAAAAGCATAACAATTCAAAAACTGTCACACCAAATAGACTGTGAAGAAGGCACTTATTTATAGTATGGGAGGTGAAACAAGAAGTCAGAGTGGTCCCCTTGTTCAACCTTGGAGGGAACATGTGCATGGGGTGACTCAAATTTTTGCCACTGTGTGTATGTCTGTGAATGATGGCAAAAGCCCCTTATGAGTTTTGGAGTTACGAATAAATTCTAGCAATCGCCAGGCACGGTGGCTCACGCCTGTAACCCCAGCACTCTGGGAGGCCGAGGCAGGTGGATTGCTTGAGCTCAAGAGTTCAAGACCAGCCTGAGCAAGAGCAACACCCTGTGTCTGTTAAAAATAGAAAGAAAAAAAAAATAGCCAGGTAACTAAAAATAGAAACAAAAAATTAGCCGGCACTGTGGCTCGAGCCTGTACTCTCAGCTACGCAGGAGGCTGAGATAGGAGGATCAGTTGAGCCCAGGAGTTTGAGGTTGCCATGAGCTAGGCTGATGCCACAGCACTCTAGCCCAGGCAAGAGAGTGAGACTGTCTCAAAAGAAAAATAAACAACAACCAAAAGAACAAGTAAATTCTAGCAAGTAGGTGAATTTCCAAATACAAAATCCACAAATGATGATGATCAACTATATGTAATAAAACAAATATATCAGAATGTTAATTATAGAATCTAGGGGGTGGATAATAGGTGTATAGTTAAGTCTATTTTCTGTATATTTGTAAGCTTTCACATAATGTTGAAAAAAATTACCTCCCCTTAGCAGTTACTAGTTATTTCTCTACTAAGGTGGGCCCAACAAGGCCACTGGGTATAAGTTTGAGTTTGAGGAAGGGTCTTTGAGTGCCTTTTTTAGTTATGCAAATGTAAGCAGGGGGTATAATGAACGTTTCTGTGGCGTGGGAAAGGCTGCGTCTGCTGGGGTGTCCAGGGGCATGCAAGGATGGGCGCTGTGGCCGAGAGGAAGATGCTGGAATGAGAATCAGGTGAGGTCTGTGTCAGGGTAGCTGGAGGAATCTACATTTTAACCAGATCAATTCTGAAGGCGAGGCTTGAGGGGGGTTCTGGATGTCCCAACAGTTACAGACAGGCGGATGTTCCAGAGATTAATAAGGGACTGCATTTGTGTCCCTACCTTGAGAAACAGGTCACCAGTCCATAAGAGTGTTTAAAAAACAAATCAGGAAGTGCTGGGTGCAGTGGTTTATACCTATAATCCTAGCACTTTGGGAGGCCGAGGTGGGAGGATTGCTTGAGGTCAGGAGTTTGAGACCAGCCTGAGCAAGAGTGAGACCCCGTCTGTATAAAATATAGAAAAATTAGTCAAGCATAGTGGCATCCGTTTATAGTTCCAGCTGCTCGGGAGGCTGAGGCAGGAGGATCACTGAAGCCCAGGAGTTTGAGGTTGCTTTGAGCTATGGTGACACCTCGGCACTCTCGCCCAGGGCAACAGAGTAAGAAAAAAAACCCTGTCTCAAAAAAATAATAGTAAAAATTTAAAATAAAAAAAATAAAAAGAATCAGGAGGGCTCCTAGCTAGTCACCCTAAAGAAATGGAAACTTACATTCACACAAAGCTTACACAGGAACATTTATAACTTAACTGTTTCCCAACAGATGAACAGATAAACCTACAATGGAATACTACTCAGCAATAAAACGGAACAAAATACTAACACATGCAATAACACGGACGAATGGCCAAGGCACCGTGCTGACTGAAAGAAGCCAGGCTCAAAAGGCCGTGGGATCCCACTCAAGCCCACAGCACGGAGATCACATCAGTGGCTGTGGCCCTGGGGGTGGGTAGAGGGACTGACTGCCCAGGGGTCCGAGGGGGTTGGGGGAATAGTCTATAATCTATACCACTTGATTGAGGCGGTAGTTTCTCAGCTGTATGCATTTGTCAAATCAGAATTTTTCACTAAAATGGTGTATAAATTTTACTGTATGTAAATTGCACTTCATTTTGTTTAATTAAGGGGGGACAGGAGCTGGGAGGTACAGACGTACTGGGCACTGAAAGTAACAACCGAAATGGGAAAGTTGGTACGGGCTGTCACACTCCTTTCCCCTGACGCCCACCCTCTCATCCAGCCTCCAAGTCTGCCCCCACCCCCGGCTACTCTCCAGCACTGGTATCGCCACGTGGTGGGCACAGGCAAGCACTCCGTGCCCTCCTCAAAGCTGGGGCCCCTGAGTGACGGACACTGGTGACCCCTCCCTCCTGCTGGAGCCTTGCAGATCTCCCTGGTCTTTAACAAGCCGTCTGGCTTGCCTCCTTCCCTGACTGCTCCTGCGCTCTCTCTCCTTCCCCAGCCCCTGCCCCCTTGCTT